AAAGGTGCAAAGGAGCTAATTTTTCCACCAAGAAGAGATTTTTCTGCTTTGGTTGCCCTGAACGAAGATCCTGGAGAGGATGATACTAATATAGAAGTTGTCTTTCCAATGGGACGATGATTCTGCTTAGAGATCATTTCATTCCTGCATTACTAGACTCCTGTATCATTTATCCTGACAAGTATACATTTTCAAGAGGTGCTTTGCCATTTGTTAGAAACCTCAGAGATCCCAAATTTTGTTCATTAAGATCTCAGATTATCAGAAAAAAAGTAAGCTTTATTGGTAGCTTACAGTTGAGAAAAAAGTAATAATGTTCAAGTGGTTTTAAAAAACCCTTAAGATTTGTAATTTAGACCATCTTCTGTTTCTCCTAGAATTAGAAAAACAGTTAGCTTGCTTTGTGTCTCAAGTGGGTATATGAATCTTTGCAGCCTCCTTTACTGGACTCTTCGTTTCTGTAGCATCCAACGGGTATACTGTAAATCAGGCAGATAATCTAAGTCCTCTTCTAAATAAAAGGATTCTTAATTTTTCATAAAATGAAGAAATGAAGTTGTTACAAATTGTCATCTGAAATTTTAGCACGTAAAGCAGGGGTGCGGAACCTTTTTTGGGTCAGGAGCCACTGATTCCCAGAAAAATCACCCAGGGGTCACACACAAATGAGAAGCAAAACAAAAAAACCTCAGGACTCCAGGGTTCCCCTAGCATTTCATCTCAGGGCGTGGAGGGGAGGGAACCAAGGCTCAGGGTTTACCCCTTAGGCTTGAATTAACTGGTGGCTGAGGGCTAATAGATTTTGTAAGGTCCGGTGTGTGGGAGGGGACTGCTGGGGAGCAGGGTTGGGCTGCAGGGTCTGGGCAAAAGGGAGGGTGCAGGAGCAGGGTGGGAGTGTAGGTTCTTGGGATTACAGAAGGGAATAGGGGATTGAAGTACCTATCTGGCACACCTCCTGGGAAGGCAGAGATGACTCTTTGCTTCCCTTCCATTTGTACATATGGTCCCCTGCCTCTTCCATTGGCCACTATTCTCAGCCAGTCAGAGTGATGGGGGTGGAGCCTGCAAGCCAGCACAGAGTCATTCCCCTAGCCAAGGGCAGAGGGAACACTAGAATTGGCAGGAACCTTGAGAGGTCATCAAGTCCAGTCCCCTGCCCTTATGGCAGGACCAAGGACCACCTAGACCAGTGGTCCCCAACCATTTGGGGTTGCCGGGCGCCAGGGGGTGTGGCCGTTCGCCCGCCCGGGGGGCGGGGCCCCCCCATAGCCGCATTCCGGGGGCCGGCGCTCTCCCCTCAAGCGCCACGCGCCCGGGGCCGGGGCCAGCACTCTCCCCCCCTCCCCCAAGCGCCGCGCGCCCAGAGCGCGGGCGGTCAATCCGCGTCACTCCCGGGGCCGGTGCTCACCGTGCGCCATGTGCCACGTGCCCGGGGCCAGGCCAGCCATGAGCAATTGGCGGGCACACACAAATGCGGGCCGCTCTCCCTCCCCCTCCCCCAAGCGCCGCGCGCCCGGGGCCGGCGCTAGCGCTTTCTCCCCCCCCCATGCGCCGCGGGGGGTGAATCCGCGGCGCCCCCGGGGCCGGCGCTCACCGTGCGCCCGGGGCCGGCTCCGGCACCGCGCATGTGCCACATGCCCAGGGCCAGGCCAGCCCTGAGCACTTGGCGGGCGCAGAGAAATGCCCCCGCGGGCGCCATGGCGGGGACCACGGACCTAGACCATCCCTGATAGATGTCTATCCAACCTGCTCTTAAATATCTCCAAAGATGGAGATTTCACAGCCTCCCTAGGCATTTTATTCCAGTGTTTAACCACCCTGACTATTAGGTAATTCCATAACTTCCACTGAAATCTGTTCTGCAAACTCCGTCTCAGATTTCAGTGTAAATGGAATTTTTCCAGGAATAAAAAAAGAGTATGAAGAACTTTCAGTCACTAACGGTTTGGTCCATAATAGATCCAAGGGTTAGTATACTGCCAGGCTAGTGAAAGGAGGTAAGCTTGATATCTGGATAATATGACTGAGATTTGTTTCTAGCACCACAGATCTTTTTCTTTTCTTTTTTTCGATTGTGTATTAAAAAGTTACCTGGCCTTTTTAAGCTAGCATATTAGTTTTGTTGCACTGAGTGAGGGATTTGGTTTTTGGGTGTGAATAGGTACATAAATGTGCTGAAGATGTAAATTGCCCCCATGGTATGCAGTTGGTGACTTCATGTGTGGTATTGTCCTCCACTTGGCTAGAGCAGAAACTGAAGTTTTAATTGCTACTGGTAACAAAGATGCTGGGAGATAAACGAGAGACAACTGATGAGTTGTTTGTATTTTTGTAATGGACAGTACTATATGGAGATGACTTTTTCAAAACTTCTTCTGCCTCTCAGTTTCACAGTGACATAGCTCTTGAGTTCAGTAGAGGTTTACTTCTGATTTACACCATTGTAATTGAGGAGAATTCTGCCCATTATTTAGTAACTCTTTATTACCATGTTTGTTTTATATAAATAATAAGAAAGTAGTTGGGCCACATATCGCAGAGCTACTTGGCTATTCTCCATCACATTAAATCAAACATTTAAAAGTGCATCTTTAATGCAGTGTCTTTCAGAGTTTAGATTTGTTCTGTTAATGAAAACAAAAGGTGTTACTTTCTGTCTTTACAGGTTGTCAGCTATATATTTTCTTCCTTCCTCACTGTTCTGTAATACTTTATTGTGGAGGCAAGTAATCACAGTGAAATCAGAAGTTTTAATAAAAAACTGTTTGTTACAAAGAGGAAGAGTGATGTGAAGCTCATGCTGCAGTTTTAACATAAATCTCATGAGAACTGAGGCTTTGAAGCTTGCACGTGAGACTGTGGGTAATCATAGAAGAGAACCCAGGAGGTCATCAAGGCCAAGCCCAACAAAATTATCCCAGCCAGCGTTTTGTCACGCCGGGACTTAAAAACCTCTAGGGATGGATATTCTACCACCTCCCTAGGGAACCCATCCCAGTGCTTCCCCCACCCCTCCTAGGGAAATAGTTTTTCATAATATCCAACCTACTCCTTCCCCACTGCAACTTGAGACCATTGCTCCTTGTTCTGCCATCTGTCACTACTGAGAATAGCCCTTCTCCATCCTCTTTGGAACTCCCCCTCCTCCCCCGCTGCCTCTGTTAGAGGCAGCAAGTGGGAGGGAGGAGGGGGGGTCCTTCAAAACGGCAGCACCACATGGAGCCTTAGGACATACCCCAGACTCCATGCTGCACTGCCATTTGGAAACGCCATGTATCCCTAGGCTGCACACGGTGTTTCAAAGTGTCAGCACCGCGTGGAACCCGGGATCAGCTGGGGTCTCCCCCTCTGACTCTGGGCTCCATGTGGCACTGCTGCTTTGAAATGCTACAGGGAGCCTGGTACCAGGCTTCCCACAGTGTGTCAAAGCAGCAGTGCCACATGGAGCCTGGCGTCAGTGGGGGAGTCTCCAGCTGACCCAGGGCTCCACATGGCACTTTAGCCTTTGAAGTGTTGCTGTTGCTATAGGTGCCCTATTGACTAATTGAATAGTCAGTGCAAAATGCATTTACTATTCAATTAGTCAAGTATTTAATATTTATCCCTGGTATCTACCTCTCCTCCTAGCTTAGGATCATCTGTGAACTTGCTGAGGGTGCAATCCATCATCTCATCCAGGTCATTAATAAAGATGAACAGGGCTCGACAATTAATGTAATCTACTCGCCCATGGTGAGTAGATTTTTAGCCCGGTGCAGCCACGCAGCGTAGTCTACGCATGTGCAGCGTGTGGTTCAGCGGCTGGGGGGGGAGCCCTGAAGATGAAGAATAAAACTAGCCCCAGAAGCGACCCTGGGGCCACTCTGCTTTATACCAACTAGACACGAAGCCATTGATCGCTACCCATTGAGCCCAACTATCTAGCCAGCTTTCTATCCACGTTACAGTGCATTTATCCAATCCATACTATTTAACTCACTGTAAGAATACTGTGGGAGACTATCAAAAGCTTTACTAAAGTCAAAGTACATCACATCCCCCCCTTCCCCATATCCATAGAGCCAGTTACCTTGTAGAAGGCAATCAGGTTGGTCAACCTTGGTGAATCCATGTTGACTCTTCCCAATCACTTTCCACTCTTCCAAGTGCTTCACACTGGATTCCTTGAGGATCCCCTTCATGATTTTTTGGGGACTAAGGTGAGGCTGAGCAGTCTGTACATTTCCAGATTGTCCTGTGCATCTTTTGCATTTTTCCAGTCGTCCACGACCACTTATCATCACCATGAGTTTTCAGAGATAATGGCCAATGGCTCTTCAATCACATCAGGCAACTCCCTCAGCATCCTTGGATGCACTAGATTCAACCCCATGGATTTGTGTATGTCCAGCTTTCCTAAATAGTAGTTAACCTGTTCCTTCTCCACTGAGGCCTACTTACCTCCTTCTCATACTGTGCTGCCCAGTACAGCAGTCTGGGGGCTGACCTTGTCTGTGAAAACAGAGGCCAAAAGCATTGTGTACTTCCAACTTTTCCCACATCATCTGTCATTAAGTCCCGTTCTCCCCCTCCCCCCCATCAGTAAGGGTCCCAAACCTTCTCTAAGCACCTTGTTATTGCTAACATGCCTGTAATGTGTTGGAAGCAGAATGTTCAGGATCAAGTTCAGGGCTGGTGTAATTTGGGTGCCTCCCTTATAAACCTGAACTGAATTTGGCTTTTGATGTGTAGAACAGGAGAATGTGTTCTTCCCCTCTCTCTTCCCTAGTCACTGCAGGAGAGTGAAGGGGAGCCTAGTAGGCCATATCCACACACATCCATATAGAGTGAATGAGTGAGAAGGATGGTGAGGGGGTTTACTCTTGGTTGCCCAGTGTTTTCTTCCTGCCACAGAGAGGGTAGTTTTTTTTTTTTTTTTTTTTTTTTTAATGAAACAAACATTCAGCTCAGCCAGAGCCTAGGAAGTTTAATTTTTCTCTCTGTTCCCTCTATTTCTCTAGCCCAAGTGGGAAGAAGTTCCGAAGCAAGCCTCAACTGGCCCGTTACCTGGGGAGCTCCATGGACTTGAGCTCTTTTGACTTTCGCACAGGCAAAATGCTGATGAGTAAGATGAATAAGAACAGACAGAGGATGCGCTATGACTGTTCTAACCAAGCCAAAGTAAGAATAACTTACAGTGGAAGGACTGGGGTTTTGCTATATTCTTGTTGGTACAGATACTGTTTTGCAAGTATCATGCACAGATTTAGCCTTTGAATTAATGTTTGTATGTGGAAGTTGTGTGAGACCAAAGTCATATCTGGGTCCTAGGCCCTCTTGTAGGTAGATCTGGTCTAACCAAAACTGATAAATGTTTTCATCAGTAAGAGTGTTGAGTTTAACTTTGCTGTTGGAAAAATGTGTGGGTTTTTTTTTCCTTTTGTTTTGCATCTTTAGGGTAAACCTGACTTAAACACTGCACTCCCGGTCAGACAGACAGCCTCAATTTTCAAGCAGCCTGTCACTAAGATCACAAACCATCCTAGCAACAAAGTGAAGAGTGATCCTCAGAAAGCTGTGGACCAGCCCCGCCAGGTGAGGTTTGCAGTCTTCCTTCTGTATAACAGTGGGTACATGTACACTAGCACCTTGTTGTATTTGATCAGTGTCATGGAACCTGTTACAAATTGATTATCTCCTAACCAGTGTTCCCTGTAAGATGTGCACTTCTGCGGATACACAGGAGAGATTCCAGTGTTGCCTAGCTGATTAGCAGAGCACCCACAGCTAGGTTTGTGTTTCTCCTGGTGGTGCACATTTGCATATGCCTTTGTGTACATAACATTCTGCACATAGATGAAAAAGATTAGAGGGAACATTGTTCCTAATCCTGTTCAAAACATTTAATTATGTAGTGTAGGCATGTCTTTTATAAATAGGCTGCAGCCTCCGTCAGAATAAGTGTTTCACTATGATGGTTAAAGTGGTCTGATGATCTGCTTTACACACTGAGTGTTCATAACCAGTTTTATGGACAAACTATGTTGTAAATAGATTCCCTGTTGTGTATTTTATAGTATAGATATGGCCAATTTTTTTTTTTTTTTTGAAGATTCACACTGTTCTAGTACAGGCCACCATCTGGTCTCCATTTCACATAACAGAGATTCCAAGAAAAGCCTCTCCTAGTAACTTTAGTGTTTTCACCCGGTTCCGTGAAGTTAGAAATTGTCATCTCCTAGAATACTTGGTCATCATGTGAATGTCAGTATTAGCAGTCACATTCAGGTTATAATTTTGCTTGCAATACTGACTATTTACCAATTAGTGGAGACTAGGGATGTTAACTATCTGATACAGAGGCAGCAAAGGGACAGAAGAAGCAGTTCAGTGGATCGTGTCCTCTTGAGGACCTGGCTTTTAAGCCATCTCCCCCTAAGCATTGGCTCTCGCCTGCTCTCCCTACCATGCTGCCTTTATCTGGTTTTATAATAGCATTGTCCAGAAGACACACAAGGTGGTTTTGAGGCTTTTCCTGCATTTGTCCAATTTACTTTCTTTTACCCTTCTAAACATTGAGGGTGCTGGTGCAAGCTGATTATCACTGTGGATCTTTTTGTTCACTTTCTACTTTATTCATCTCTAGATTCTGCTCTATTGCATGTTCAACAATCCTTGCTGCTGCTAGATTAAAGTTTCCTAATGTTTTACCTGTGGCACTTTCTCCATTCTAGCTTTGTTCAGACTTGCCCCTACTCTTCCTTCTAATTTTGGAAATAATGCCCAGGCCAGATACTTAACTCTTGGACTTGAAAATTATGGGCTTAGAGATTACCTCCTGAGGTTTGGAAGTTAAATCTCCTAGTCTGCCACTTAGAAGCTGAGAGCATTATTGTGAAAGGCCCACGGGAAGTAATTTAGATTGTGTCACAGTTTGGGTCTTCTGGTGGTATGAGGTGAGCCGGGAGACTTGTGTATTTGTGTGGTTCTTGGCTGGCCTAGAAGAAACTGCTTTTTGGTGCAGAAAAGCTAGTATTGCCGTCAGGCAAATTGGTATAGTCCTGTAGCAGTCCACTGACTGGTCTCTGGATTGTGATTTGAATATGGACCCAGCTGTAATATTGCCTCTTCTTACCAGATATATTAGGCGATACCTTCTCTAAATGAAAAGCTTCATATCTGTTGATTAAACTACTGCATTGATTTTATTTGGTCTTTACCTTGGCTGTGACTTGAATTGCTCTGCCGTCTTTCTTTAAAAGTAACTCTGAAGCAAAGTCATGGAACAATTCTTTGGAAGCTACCATAGAGCAGATTGGTGGGTCAGCCAAAAAGAATACTTACCAAAAATACTGCCTCATACCATTTACGTTAACCTAGTGGTGCAGAGGAAAAGTTTGGAAATTCCAGAATGAAGGCAAGGAGGCAACTTTTTTTAAAGACAGTAAATCAAGAGAGAACTATTGTGGTGATTCTTCCAGTCTTGGAGCTGCTTTGTTGATTGACTGATGGAAATGCAAGCTATACCCTTTCTGTAGACTCATCTGAGTTTTTCTTACAGTAATGCCAGATATATCAGCTCCAGTTCTCAATTCTATAGAATTCCATGGCAGGCAGGTGCTTTGCTGTGTTTCTGTGTTGTTTTGCATGAGTGAATTAATGCTTTCTTTGTTAGCTCTTCTGGGAGAAGAAACTAAGCGGACTGAATGCCTTTGACATTGCAGAAGAACTGGTGAAAACAATGGACCTTCCAAAGGGTTTACAAGGTAATTAGACCATTCTTCTAACTGTAGGCCTGGCACTGTTGTAATAGCTTTGTGTTTTGAAGGTACTATGGGCTTAACCACTTCCTGTCAGGTGTTTGGCACTTTGTGGTAGGAGGAACTTCAGAAGGAATTGGTTGTGACTGAGGTCAGTCTAAAATTCATTGTACTTAGCCCTGAGGGATCTTGAGGGACAGTAGGAGAAAGTGGCATGTCACTCAACTTGTACTCAGTTAAGGAGCTCTTTTGACAGATCCTGAAGGAAGTTTCAGCCAGTCATCCTCATGTGGGAGGATAGCTGTGATAGACTGAAAGCCCTCGAGATTTAAACTGGGAAAAAGAAGTAAATAAGTGTATCATTTTAAAATATAAAGGAATTGCTATGCCTTTATATTAGCCAGGGTCTCTTTAATGTATGTTGTACAGAAAAATGTGCTGACTTTTAAAGTATAAAGCTCTTCCACTTATTATAAAATAGAGACTGTGGCAGCCTGTATTGTTTTTGGTTATTTCTGTTAAATTGGTGGAAATTACAGAATTTTTCTCTTTAGGGGTTGGACCTGGTTGCACAGATGAAACCCTTCTGTCTGCGATAGCCAGTGCCCTGCACACTAGCACTATGCCCATCACTGGACAGCTCTCTGCAGCTGTGGAGAAGAACCCTGGAGTTTGGCTAAATACCTCACAGCCACTCTGCAAAGCATTTATGGTGACGGATGAAGACATTAGGTATTAACCAGAAATGTCACTGGGTTTTTTTATGGAATGTTTTATAGGGGTAAAACCGCTAATCCCCTTTTTATCAAAGCTAAGCTTATACCTGATAGATGAATATGGTTCAGTGGGTTTATTTGGTTGCTTTAAATTAGTGTGTCAAATTGTTATTAACTTGATTTAATTAGAAATGAAAGAAAAGAATGTTAGCTCTGACTGTTGTGTTTGGACTTGGATAATTTTTCCTCTTGAATCTTTTGGGGAAAGAAATATTCTGTCACTCTGGTAGAGGACAACATTGCACACTTCTGCTTTTCTCTAGGCACCTACCACTTCTAATCGCCAGAGAACTATCATCTTCCATTTTTTATCCGAGTTTACATTTAGAAACCATATTCATTAAGCACAGACTGTGTTTGCAGAAAAAGCAAAACTGGCCAAAGCACAGCAAGCACTGTCACCGGTGGCAAGAAGGAATTGAGGGTGGAGGGAGTGAACAGCACACTTTTCCCTAGTGCTATGATCTTGTGCGTGCTTCTAGAACCAATGTAACCTTCACTGATGCTCTTCTGTGGTCCATGTTGAATTCTTCTCAGCATCCATCTCATTCAGTGTGGTACTGCTTGGGAATTTCCTGACACAGAACAATAACTCAAAGGAGAGGTTACTCATCTTTATACAGTAAATGGAATTTTTTTGGCCCTATGGATGCTCTGCTGTCTTACATCCTTTCCCTCTGCTCCAAAATCATTCTCTCTCAACTTCATGGTTGAGAAGGAACTGGAGCAGCAACATGTCCAACCTTCGTCTGCTGGAAGACAAGGATGTATAGGGCATAGTCATGCACCTACAGATACTACTGACAATCTCCAGTCAAGATCACACAGGTGCATGCACATTCTGATACAGAGCACTCATAGGAACAAAATATCTCCAAATTCTCCAGTTGCTGTACAAGATAAGTTAACCTCTTCTGTCTACATTGTAGGCATTGGTTTTGTTATAGCTCCTTGTTGCAAGTTTCCAACCCTTTTTTCCTTTTAGAGACATGTCTAAAAATTCTTACTCTCAAAGAAGTGAGACTGCTGCATAGAGTGGTATCTGCAAAAAAGAGAATATTACTTGCTTTGGATTTCTGCTTCATTGAGGATATTGTATAGGATTCTCAATTGCCTTGCTATCTCCACAGAGTTTGGAGGTTACTTTTCTTTTGAGTTGCCTTTCTTCGGAGCGCCCTTTTGATTTGGTGTTTCCTTGCTCATTCCAACAAGTAGACTGGATCATTCTGAAGGCAGCATTTGTAGTCGGGAGGGCTGGAGCATGCTGAGTACTAAGGGCCGATTTGTACTGTTTTAATGCCTTGGAGTAAAAAATCTTCAGTAGTGAAGTTCTGCCAGGTTCAGGTTAAAAGACTAAGAACCAGGAGTGAAAGATTCTATGAGACCATTATAGAAAAAGAATCGTGAGACAACTATTTATCTTTCACCTGGCAGCCTTGTACAGTGACAGATTTAAATAAATGAAATGTAATTCTTCCCCACAATTCAAACTTCTGACCTTGCTTGCTGCAGAGTCTGACCAGTATGTCTGACTGGTCTCTAGTTTCCTTGTAACTTGCACTGAAATGCAAAAGAAATAGGTTTGTCTCCCCCATGGGTGCGTCTACATTGTACTCTAAACTCGAAATAAGATATGCAATTTGCACTATGCAAATTGCATATCTTATTTCAATAACATTTCAAAATCGGCTATTTTGAAATTTGGAGTGTCATATTTCCATTCTTACACCATTCCTACCCATTCTGGCTAATCCATTCTTCATGAATTTGTCTAGTTCTTTTTTGAACCCTGTTAAAGTCCTGGTCTTTCCAACATCCTCTGGCAAGGAGTTCCACAGGTTGATTGTGCGCTCAGTGAAGAAAAACTTCCTTTTCTTTGTTTTAAACCTGCTGCTTATTAATTTCATTTGGTGGCCCCTAGTTCTTTTATTGTCGGAATAAGTAAATAACTTTTTCTTATTCACTTTTTCAATACCAGTCATGATTTTATAGACCTCTACCATACCCCCCCACCCCCTAGTCTCCTCTTTTCTAAGCTGAAAAGTCCAAGTCTTTTTAATCTCTCTTCATATGGGACCCATTCCAAACCCGTAATCATTTTTGTTGCCCTTTTCAAAACCTTTTCCAGTGCCAATATATCTTTTTTGAGATGAGGCTACCAGATCTGTACTCAGTATTCAAGATGTGGGAGTACCATGGTTTTATATAGAGGCAATAAAATATTTTCTGTCTTATTCTCTATCCCTTTTTTTAATGACTCCTAACATTCTACCGTAAAATCTCGAGTATAATGCACACCTATGTATAATGCGCGTCCGCCTTTTAAAGGTCAGACTTCTTGAATAAACTAAACTTTTATCTATAATGCGCACCCCCATTATACTAGAAATTTTAGTATGCATAGGAAGGAAGGGGCTCGCGCCTGCCTCGGGGCTCCCCACCCAGCTGAGCTCGCGCCTGCCACTGGGTCCCCCTGTCCAGCTGAGCTCGCGCACGCTGAGCTCATGCCTGCCACTGGGTCCCCCTGCCCAGCTGAGCTCGTGCCTGCTGGGGGAGCCTCCCCCGTCCAGCTGCTGGCTGGCCTTGG